CTCGATTGTTAGAGAAAACTACGACTCGATAACTTGGTCGGACAAGCCGACTTGCTCTGATACCAACTTTGTAACACCCCAATTCTACCTGACAATTATATATTAAAATCAGAGTTAAAAAATTCCAACAACTGAATCAGGATGCTACAAATTACAACTTAAAACAACGACATTCATTATAGATACATAACACATTAAACTAGAATGAACCAACAAGAACATAATTTTATTGCTTTAAAACCAACAACTTTCACAACTACGTAGCAGAATCAATATATCATCTTTGTCCAACTAAAAAACTTCAAATAACAAGCACTCAACTAAAAACAACTTAGAGTTCAACAACTGAAATAATAACAACAATAAACTAGCAAGTGTTCATCCCCTCAAGTGTTACGTATCAGAGCAATGACACCGACTCGAATTACTGAAGGTAAACCGCCTTCACTCTGGATTACCTGCACGTTATCAACATCGGGGTAACATTCAAATAGAAAGAGTGAGATATCGAACAATATAATCGAATGAATGATAAATTACATTAAAATTAGTCTATGCAAATCACTACTTCACAACTTTAAGCAACATCAATTACAACAAAACGTCAACGAAACATAATAATTAATTCATCAACACGACAACTCAATATGCAACATGAAATGCAACTTGTTACTATGCACATGCATGTGGTACCAATGGAACGAAACTCCCATCTTAAAAACGGAGTAAAACTTCCAACTTAAAAATGGAGCAGAACTCTCAACTTAATAATTGCCAATTAATAGAGGCATCAACAAGGCATAAGCCTTCTTCGCAGTTTATCAGTCCAGGCCATCTGAAAATATGCAAATATATGTGACTCAATAAATGCACTATCACATACTCACAATAATTATTGTTCATCGCAAGGCATAAACCTATATCACCCTTATTACTAGTAAATAAAGGTAATTCATCGTCATTTAAAATTCCTTGTAACTTCGCATTATCAATAAAAATTCACAGCAATAATCACAACAACACAATAACATTGGCATAAGCCTACAACTTAAAAATAATTCAACATAAATCAACGTTGGCCATAAGCCTACAACTTCAAAAACAATTCAATATTAATCAACATGAATCAACGTTGGCCACAAGCCTACAACTTAATATCTACCCATAATTAGAGGCATCGCAATATAAATCATCAACCTGCAATTTCTCAACTCAGAACAACTTACACAACAACTAAGAAGAATAACAACTAACTTATACTCCTCGACCCAACCTGCAACTTCGTTCCGCTCGAAAACAGTACCGTGTTCCTCGGTACGCCTCACAGCTTAATGCCGCTCGACATCCAACACATATATTCCCCGACACACTTTGTATCCTAAACGCCGTTCGACACCTAACACCATCAGCATCCTCCTCGACCACTAGTACGACTAACAACACAAAACAACACAACGTCATAACGACCACCTCAATACAATTCATAATTTCTGACCAACTGCTCGGAATACCATAGTAACGGGCAACTATATTTCCTATCAACAGATTCGTTCATTGTATAAGACTGTCACGCATGAATCCTCCTAATACGACCACAACAACAATTCCTAATTTCCTGTCAACTGCTCGGAACATCACAACATCATAACGACCACACCACCATGTGATAAACTACACTAACCTAATCATCGATTCTATCGGGAAATCATACATACAACTCAAAACACTACTAACGGGAAACTTCAACAACATGTATACTAATCATGCGATACAGTCATACAGTGGCTCTCCAACCACCACAACATAGAGGAACGAACAACTTCGATAACAAATCCAGAAACATCAACGCACACAGTCATACAAACGACTAATTCCCATATGATACACATCATAAATCTCATTATAAGGCTAGAACCCCACCCTTACTTGTATTGAAGTTCGCCCAACCAAAGCTCTGACCGTAATCCTCGCTTTGCTCGACACCGGACAACTTGCTCCTTCCTCCGTGCAACTCTTACAGTCAGCGTGCAAACCCTCAATCACTAACTAAATCAAATCATTGTGTCAACTTAACCTTATATATCAATCTTATTGAGCTTAACTTTCACACTCCCACTTTACTACTTCCAACCAATAAAATAGGTCCAACACAATTATTCCGTTAATTCCAACATTATTATTATTAATCAACTAATTAATTAATTAATAATAATCTAACAACTTATACCAACAATTCTCAACATCTCACAATTTTTCAACAAATAATCCAAAAATAATTTAATTAAATAAACGGGCGTTATAGTTTTGGTAAACCGATATGAAAAGGTTTATATTTTGGTAACGCATGCAACACACATAGCCCATATGAGACCTATGTAGACATTATTATTATTTTTGTATTATTTGTATATTATGTGTATTATTACTCAAATATTTTCACCATACAGTTTATTAAATAAAATTTGTCGCTTTCATTGTTGCAAGATGAACATAACTTAACACCTTACAATTAACATAACTTAACATAGACAATTATATAACTTAACAATAATAAATAACAAAAACCTAGACACTACTAGATGATTCTGGATGTTTCAACATTTTGATTATGTCATTGTTAGATTTAAAAATTGTCGCATCAAACTCGCTTGATCCCTTTGTTAGCCTACGGTGATATGTTATCCACATTACCTTCAAATCTTCATCAACCTTCAGCTCAATATGATTGCATTTTACCTTTCTATCAGTATCAATTTATGGTGCACAAAACTCGATCTTACTCACTTTTTTGTTCTCTGTGTCGGATAACATATTATTCAATTTGGATCTCAGAAGAGCGATACATGTGGTGTCCTTCGGTAGCCCAAAATCAACATGAAATTTCACCATGTGAAAGTACACACATGTCATAAACGAATAAATATGAATGTTAAGATGTTCTTTTTAACAATGCACATTCTCTATTTATACAAGTTTGAATTCATTCCAGACCATACACAATTTTCGGTGCAATCACAGCCGTACAAAACTGTCTGAAAAAATCTCAACAGTTAAAAATTACACTATCGATTTTTTGAAGCTCCTCTAAAAGTCTACTTTTTAAAAATCAGTAATTTTACACTACCGAATTTTTCAAAGTTTTGCAAAAAAAAAAGGTACAAAATGGTGTTTTCAGACTTTTTACACACACTATTAGAATTTTCAATTTTAATCGAAATTTTATTTGTTCTACCAATTTTTTTGTACATTCCCTTTATACTATGATAAGGATAATATGAGTGTTATCCAAAATTTGGGGGTGCCAGGTAAAAATCCTAAGTTTGCCATTAAGACTAAATATGTCATCTGGCCCATCATAAATTTAATTTTAAGCAATGAGTTAACCTTTTTAAAAGTCTAATTTAACATGTTAATCTATTTAGAAATTATTTAAAAATAAAAACTGCACTATTTTCACCTCAGAGAGGTATTTAAAAGCCTGTTTGAAAAAAACTGCACTATTTTAAACTAAATATGACTTATTATCAAGGTATTTTGCAAGTACCTTCCTCTCGAAGATCATCACTATAGGCAAATACAACTCCATGAAAACTTTCTTGAAGTTCCTTACCTGTTCTTCCCAAAGACCATTCATGAACTAAGCAAAACTCAAATTACCAACACTGCTTTTGTATTGGTTGACATATTTATTAGCATTTCAAATATTCACGCTTTTTTTTTTAATTATTCATCACTACATAATAATTTCTATTTCATTCAATAATCGCACGTCCAAAAGTTAAATGTATAAATACGTGAGAAGACAACTTTTCATTTAGGTTAATTTTTTAGATGAGATCCAAACTCATCGGTAAGATCTATTTTGTTTAAAAATTTAAACCCTTTTTTTGTTTGGTGAGTTGAAACTAAACTGGTGAGGTGTGTGAATGATCACACACTGGTTTTCTCTCTATTTTGACTGTTTGGTTTGGTGCAATATAATACAAGACTACAAGACTGGTAGAGTGATAGTACTATTACCAAGCCACAAACTTCAACCAAATAGCAGACACATACATTAAATGAGCTTTAATATCACTAGTTATAATGAAAAGACATACCTTGCAATCGAATATCTCAGCATCTACTAACAGAGCTAGATTAACGGGACAATTCGTACATAACTTCACAAATTGCATTTTTCGGTTATGATTTTTAGGACCCAATATGAAACATGGGGTATATTTTTTATCCATCCTTAATAAGTCTAAGCTAAGCTTTTTATGTATCTAATAAATAAACGTAATCTGCAGAATACAACATGACTTAATACAATCATATCTCATAATCAACAATTGCAATTTAAATTGGTGCTTGATATCAAATTCACCATCCCTTAAATTAATCTGTCCTAGCAATATCACATGAAAATTCGATTAAATTTGTGTAGTTAAGTCAATTTAGTCGGTAGTCAGTAACTATTCAGAGACATCAGACATCCATATTACAAGTTAGCAGGTTCAAACCTGCTACATCCCATTAGTCACCTCTACTTAACCGGAAAAAAAGTAAGATCAAATTTATTGTTGAGGATACAAATTCCAGAAACTACAAATTCCATTCCACATTCAACAAACACACATAGTATGGTTTAAGCCGTTTCATGATAATAACATCACCAATCATTGATATTTTCTAATATCATACTTTCTTTATGAACCAAAAAACAGAAATTAAAAAGATTTAAAAATAAAAAATAAAAATTTATGCTCAAAACAAAAAGACAATAGAATAATGCCAAAAACCCTAGTTTGGATTCAAAGGCAAACGGTACTTGTAAATCACCAAATAGTCATGATTCACAGTAGGGAAAACAAAATAAACCCTCATAAAATTCACCTATTATTATTTAATTTCAATTTAAAAAACCATACCACAAAAAAAAAAGGAGATAGATCTACAATCTTCAACAGAAAAGTTCGATAATCCATTATACAACTCCATAATCAAAACAAAAAAAACTAAATTGAAGAAACGTCACCGTTTAAATGAAGCTTATAATCATCGCAATCGAATCCACATCCACACTGAGGGCATTCAAGGAAATTCTCCGCCCCAAAATTGGCAGAAGTAATACCGACAGAAAAACCAATATCATCACCGTCACGAGAAACCTCAACAATACTCAACCACAAAATCACAATCTTGACGGAAATACCCTTGAGTTTATAAAGCCTATTCTTCGAAATCACACCCGAGATAGTACTCTTGTAACTAAGCGTGTAACTTTCTATCGTAAAACCACATGTTTTCTCAAAAAACACTGAAAATTGACCTGTTTCTCTGTTTAAGGTATACCCGATTGCTCCTTTTGGAAGAAGACCCTTTGGGAAACCGTATTCCATGAGAAGATCGTAAGCTGAGAGATTGTTCTGTTGAATCAATGCATTCGATGACGATAACGATGATGATGATGATGATGATAGTGTTAAAGAGATTAACAAAATCAGAATCAATTTAATTGAAACCATAGTAGCGAAATCAATAGTTGATTTTGATTTGTATATTGGTTAAAGAGGTACTTTTGAAGAGTTCAATTTTTGGGTTGTTTGAAGATGCGGTGGATATCAAGGTCAGAGGGAGATTCTTCTTATGTTATGCTTTGTTTGGTAGGTTAGGAAAAGTTTAAAATAGATTAAAATTAGGAAAGTTAAATATTGCGATTTTTTTTAGGTTATAAATAAAATATTATTAAAAATATTAAAATTATTTTAATATTTTAATGTTTTTGAAATAATAATTATCATAGTCGATATAAACAGCCTGTCCTTTGTTTTAAATAGAGAATGCTTGTTTCTTCTTTTTTATTTTTTATTTTCTTCTTAGGCATAAGTGATGCCTAAGGTCTGATACAAACACCAATTACATTAGAACAGAATTCTAGGGACTAAAGGCTTAAACCAAACTCAGAACAAAACTAATACTTGATTCAAGCCAATCAAATTAACAAACTGAATACCAGCATCTGCAAATAAGAACCTCAGCAAGCCCAGCAGATAACCAAGGCCAGAGAAAAATGTTGCGGTGCGACACAGAAGAACTCCCACAGCAGACTGCTTCCGGACTAACATCAAAAAGCAACAAGATGCCAAAATCCGCAAATAATGCGAGCGCCTGGCAATACACCGAAACTACGCGTCCAGAAGCAAGAAGATGTAAAAGATGGAAGGAGGGGTAGCTGCGGGAACCACACCAGAAGACAACACCGACAATAAAACTGTCGAAAGTAATTCCTTGTGTCGAAGCAGTTTGCTCGACAGAAATAAGGGAGTGTCGTAGTAGATGTGTCGAAAATACTACACACATATTTGATTTGATTTTGATTTAAATAATTTAATTTAAATCTAAAATAGATATATTTGATTTAGTACCAAAATATGTATTTTGGGCTTTTATAAATTTGTAATGAAATCAATTAATTATAATCACAGAATTTGCAGTTAGAAGTGATTAATAAAATTTTCCACAGTTTGTGGGCAGAAAAAACTCTGTAGAAAATAATTTTTTTTTTCCTCTCATAATTCATTGTCGTGTGTGGTGATATCAATCTTATTCATCAAGATTGGTAGAAATTCATCACAGATATTTGGTGGATTTCCAACATCTGGTATCAAGAGCTCAGTTAATCGATCCAAGGGAAGTATCGATTAAGAACGATTGAGGAAGGAGAAGAATTCACGATGACAAATTATGGGAATGCAAATTATCCAGCAACTCTACAAATTCTGAAAGTAGATAACTATGAGAATTGGTGCAAACAGATGGAAGTTTTATTCAGGTGTCAAGGTCTTTGGAATCTTGTAAAGGATGGATTAGAAGCGCTTGGAGAAAACGCTTCAGAAGAAGAAAAGAAGAAACACACAAAATCTGAGAAGCTGAGTTATAAACCACTCTTTATAATTCATCAATGTCTGAGTCCAGAAAATTTTGAAAAAGTGAATGATTCAGAATCTGCAAAAGAAGCTTAGGGGGTTCTTGAGAAGTCCTTTGGTGGTGCAGAAAAGGTGAAATAAGTGAGGTTACAAACTCACAAGAGAACGTATGAATTGCTTCAGATGGAAGATAGTGAGAGCATGTCTGATTTCTTCATTAGGGTTACAAAACTAGTGAATCAAATCAAGATATGTGGAGAAACACTAACAACAAGAGCTGTTGTTTCGAAGATCTTGAGATCTTTGGCTCCTAAGTTCGACCACGTGGTGGTGGCTATAGAATAGGGGAAAGACTTGTCGATATTGACAAAGGAAGAGCTTCAAGGGACGCTTGAATCTCATGAACAAAGAATGGCTGAAAGAGGTGCAGGCAAGTCAAAGAGTGATGTGGCTTTGCAGGCACATTCACCAAAAGAAACCAAAGGGAAAGGAAAGTGGTTCGACAGAGGTAGAGGCGGCTACAACAAATCGACTGGTAGAGGAAACCAGAACGAAGGAAATGTGTCGAATCAGAGAAGACCATACCAAGGCAACCAAAGAGGTTGTGTTGCAAATAGAGGAAGATGTGGTGGTCAAAAACCTGACAAGAGTCACATTCAATGTTACAATTGTCATAAGTATGGTCACTATTCAAGTGATTGTCCAGAAAAGAAAAACAATCAAGAAAGTGATGCAAAGTTTGTAAAACATGAGGAAGAAGAGATGATGCTGATGGTCATAATAAGAGATGAAGATAGATTCAAGGACCAATGGTACCTGGATTCAGGATGCTCATCACATATGTCTGGAAGAAAAGTCTGGTTTGTCAACATAAAACCCTCAATGAAAAATATGGTAAAATTCGCGAATGAAAATACCCTAGCAGCTGAAGGTATTGGTGTTGTTATGATTATGATGAAAGATGGCAAGAGGACATTAATTTCCAATGTATTGTACATACCAGACATGAAGAGTAATTTTCTCAGTATAGGACAGTTGGTCGAAAAGAATTATATAGTATCGATCAAAGATAAGATGATGAGAGTCGTCGATGCAAATGGAAGATTAATCTTGAAGACTCCTATGTCTCATAATAGAACCTTCAAGATCGAACTAAATGTGATGGAGCACAAGTTCCTTTCGACTGCAGCAAGCATAGATGAATGGATATGACATTATCGACTAGGCCATCTCAACTTCAGAGACATCATAGATTTGAAGAGAAGAAATATGGTTTAAGGATTTCAAGAAATCGACATTTCAAATGAGGTATGTGAGGAATGTGTGCAGGCGAAGCAGCACAAGAATAACTTCAGCAAGGATGCAGGAAGTAGGTTGAAGGTTATTCTTGAAGTCATATACTCTGATGTATGTGGACCAATCCAGGTGGATTCGATGGGAGGTAACAAATACTTTGTTACATTAATTAGATGATTTCAGTCGAAAGCTGTGGACTTACCTGATCAAGAAGAAAAGTGAAGTGATCAAGGTATTTTCCAAGTTTAAGCCTATGGTCGAAAGACAGAGTGGTCGAAAGCTCAAAGTTTTGAGAACTGATGGTGATGGAGAGTATGTGTCGAAAGACTTCAATAAGTTATGTGAAAAGGAAGGGATTGTGTATGAGGTGGTGCCACCTATACTCAATAGCATAATGGAACTGTAGAAAGGAAGAATCGAACCATCATGAATATGGTGAGAAGTATGTTGGAAGGCAAGAATTTACCTAAGGAGTTTTCGGGTGAAGTTGTGTCGACTGCAACATACATTTTGAACAGATGTCCCACGAAGAAGCTAGAAGGAATTACTCCAGAATAATGTTGGTCTGGTGTGAATCCTAGCTTGAGTCATCTGAAGGTATTTGGATCTATTGCACATAGACATGTCCCAGATCATTTGAGAAGAAAACTTGATGACAAGTCTAGTTAAATGATTCTAGTTGGATATTATTCGACAAGAGGTTACAAGTTGTTCGACCCAGTGAACAAGTAGATTGTGACCAGTAGGGACGTGATCATAGACGAGCTTAAAGAATGAGTTTGGACTGAAAATGTCAAGAAAGATTCAGTGGAAATCCTACTTGAAGAACCAGAAACTCAAGTCGAAAGAGAAGTTCGAAAAGAGGAACCAGCTGTTATAGATCAACCAAGTACAAGCAGACCTCAAAGAACAAGACACATGCCTGCAAGATTGCAAGATTGTGTGATTACATCAGATGATGTGATAGATAATGAAGGTGAGTTGGTATATCATGCTTTCTATGCAGATGTAGAACCTGTCAATGCAGCTAAAGCATTAAAGGATTCGAAGTGGGTGAAAGCAACGAACGAATAAGTGAAGTCTATCAAAGACAAAAACTTGGTCACTTGTCGAATTGCCTCAAGGCAATAAGGAAATTAATGTCAAGTGGGTATAAAAATTGAAGATGAATCCCAAAGGGGAAGTAACTCGACACAAAGCAAGGCTTATTGCGAAAGGATTTCTACAGAAAGAAGGAATATACTTCGATGAAGTTTTTGCACCTGTTGTTAGGATCAAAACAATCACGTTGGTTGTTGGTCTAGCAGAAATAAACAGATGGCACATATGTCATATGGACGTGAAGCGTGCATTCTTGAATGGACCCTTAGAAGAAGAAGTTTATGTTAAACAACCAGTTGGGTTTGTGAAACATGACAAAGAGAGAAAGGCGTACAAGCTGCATAAAGCCCAGTATGGATTGAAACAAGCTCCAAGAGCTTGGAATAAGAAAGTTGATAGTTTTCTAAGGGAGAAGGAATTTGTGAAGTTCATAACTTAACATGGAGTATATGTAAGAAGAAGAAATAGTGAATTTCTTATACTATGTCTCTATGTCGATAATTTGTTGATAACAGGTAGCTGCAAAAGTGAGATCGAAGACTTCAAAGATGATCTCAACAAGGAATTCGAAATGTCTGATCTGGGTGAGATTTCATATTTCCTTGGCATTAAATTCTACAAAAGTAGTAGAGGTTTGATGATGCATCAAAGAAGATATGCAGGAGAAATTCTCAAGATATTTGAGATGGAAGAATGCAACTCAACTTCGACACCTGCAGAACCAAGACTGCAACTTTCGAAAGATGCAGATGAAGATGATGTCGACCCAACCCAATACAGAAGACTTATTGGGTCATTGAGATACCTTTGTCATAAAAGCCCTGACTTAGCATATAGTGTAGGTATGGTAAGTAGATTCATGTAGAAGCCAAAGGTATCACATCTAGCAGCGGTGAAAAGGATACTAAGGTATCTCAAAGGAACTCTCGACTATGGCATTTTGTTTCCTGCAGATGATAAAGGAAAAGAATGCAAGTTAATGGGATACACTTATTCGAGTTGGTGTAGTGATGCTGAAGATCGAAAATCAACAGCATGATATGTGTTTATGTTAGGTGGTGTACCAGTTTGTTGGAGTTCAAGAAAGGAACCAGTAGTGGCATTATCATCATGCGATGTAGAATACATAGCTGCTTCTCTTTGTGCATGTCAAGCAACTTGGATGGTGAACTTGGTCGAAGAGATAACAGGGAAAGATTATG